TATTGAGTGAGTAATGGTTTTTTTTCAGCTGATCTTATAAAATGGATTTTAAGTCTTTTATAAAAATTGGTACCTACACATATGTATATATTTCTTTTAAGTAAATTTTTAGCAGTTTTCCAAAAAAAAATTTGAAAAAAAAACTGCTTATAAATTTCACTCTGTTTGTCCGTCCGTTCGTCCATCCGTGAACATGTTTACAAAACTTCTACACCCTTGATGATAGAAAGCTAAAGAAAACCTTTACCTATCTTCCCACCATTAACAGAACTGGCTTCTTATAACGCCATGTTTGAAATTTAGAAAAGCAAAATGGCCTTTAAATTTTACCGTTATGTAAAACCCGCTTTTTATAAATTTTTAATATCATTTTTCTTGCACAGTTATATCATTACAGGCCCCTGGCAGTAACAGTCTAAAATTTTAATGACTTTCAATACTAATAAATGGTTCATTTTGATAGAAGAAAAATGTTTTTCATCTCTGCGCCTTCTTTAGTTAACTGCTCCCGAAATTTAAAAAATTTCAATTTTGGGCAACGTATATTTCTGAATTTGTAAGCTTTTCCAAATTTCATGCTTAATATAATTATTTTTCTTACGTTTATGAATACAAGTAATTTTAATAATATAAGAAATACATAGATTGTTTTTAAAAGCAGTATTTTCACTCGTGAGAGAGAAAATGAGGGGAAAAGTGCTATGTATATTACAATCCATTGGATTAACCCAACTTTATTTATTTTTTCCAAATCTTACATATACTCTATTAAACACGTCGAAATATGTAGGTACTTGTGTATGTTGCCGCATAAAAAAATCTTATGCAGTTATGCATATACAATTAATGTGGAAGAAAGTATAAAGGAAATAATTAAAAAAAAAAAAATCTCAATCGATGATCCACGCCTCATCTCATAATTGCGTAAATTCGCGTAAAACGCTCAGAATGGTGAAAATATATTATTAAATTTATGTTGATATTCATACACATATCCATAATATGTCAGTATATATATCTATAAGCATTTAACCTGCATACATAAAATTTATAACAAAAAAAAAAAAAAATGGAAAATTGCATTCTTTAAACAAAAGACACAAAGTAATAACTGTATTTTTCGTAACGTTTATTTGATGGTGTTTTAAACTTTTTGTTGGTTTTTTGTATATTTTGGAGAAAACTGGTTTTTATACATTTTAAACTTTGGTTCTTATATAGGGTTTATTACCTTTGGCACACGCAATTTTGTTTATACCTTAATTGTATACCATTTTTTTTTTTTGCTGTTTTTTTATGTTTCCAATCTGATGATGATAAGTTTTTAACTTTCCTTTGCTATGGTCTGTTGGTTTTTTATGACAAACCTTTGACCAGCATTTTATTTATTATGATAGAGTGCAGACAATGAGACTCTAGGTGAAGGGAATTTTTTGTTTTTCATTATGATTTATAGGTTAAAATATGCATAAATATAATATGTTATATTTTGTATTTTTATTTAAAGTTGAATATTAAATTTTGTTTTATATTGTGGTCAGTTAATAAAATGACAAAAAATTTGACTTCTGTGTGAACCTTGTGATAAAAATGAAATGATGACAAAAGAAAAGAGTACATAAAAATAATTTCTGTTTTTGTTATTTTTTTCTTTAACTTTCTTGAATTAATCGATTTCCTCTTCCTATTCCATTATATTTAAATTTTTTAGTATTACATACATACATAAATATATATGCACTTATACGATGAAAAAATCTAAATTGCAAATAAGGTACTCGTACATGATGAAAATGTCAAAATTTTTGTAATATTTTGCAGTATACTCACTCTCTCTCTTAAAACAAGTTTAAAAAAGCATTGTAAATTTTAAAAATGTTTTAGAAAATTAGAATATAATTTGTATGACAAATTTGATTTAAAATATGTAAACGTATGTATGTGTATGTATTTATATTTCAATTAAAATTCTTATGTATTTGAAAATGTTTTCAGAGTTATCGTTGTTTCACAATAATACCACCATCATATTTTATTGATGGTATTGTTTAATCGCTAAAATTCATATAATACCTATAAATATTCGACATTTTGAATTTTAGAACGAAATTTTATAATTTGAAATTGGAATTTTATTTTGCTTGATAATATACCGTAATACATGACCTATGTTATAGATAAATATAGCAATTTTGTCTCATATTCCGAATGAAGACAACTACTTGTTATATCTACATTTTATGTGTATAAATTTATCAAGCAAGTAAATATAAATCTAAATGTCTTTTCCATTGAATTTTACAATAAATCTAGTTACTACATACCTATAGCTAGTATGAAAAAATATTGTGTAGCAATCAAATATACTTAACATCTAAATAAATAACAAAAAATAAAGTATAAAAATCTAACAATAATATTTCTTCATTTATGCAAATTTATTTACTTGATTCACAACTCAGTGAATTAATCTTTTATATATACGGGTACACATACATAAATATGTACGTATTATATATTATGTTATATGTATGTCTGTATATTATATATATTTTATTGAACATTTTTAATTTTTAAATATCAAATACACATTTAACTTTCATAATAAATTAACTGCACATATTTTTAGTAATTTTATTTTAATTTATACCACTATTTCAATAATATATTATATACATACATATATATATGTATGTTATTCAAAAATCTGCAGACCGTGAGAATAAATTAGAGAAGAAAAAAAAAAACATATTATTGAGGCATTCATAGAATATTCATCTTCTTTAAATGTCGGCCTGTTGGTCGGTCGTTCGATCGTTTTTTTTTTGCTAATCATTCTTTATATTGATCGTCTTTAAGAGGAAATTAAAGAGTTAAGAAGAGAAAAGTAACAAAAGAAGAAGTAAAATTCCTTTTTTTTTTCTTGGTTGCTTTTTTTTTGCATACTTGCTTTCTTCTTTTCCTTCTCCTCTGCTTCTCTTTCTCATTAGGTATACAAAATGTACATTTCCTACATCACTTTGAACCAGATTACTCCTAAAAAAACAAGTTTTTTATTTTGTAAAAATAAAAGAAAAAATCAAGCGGAAGAAAAATCTAATTATGTATGTTTATACGTAAGTGTATGTAGCTATACAGGATAAGATAAAATAAGAATATAAAAAATTTGTTACCTACATATTATATAGAACATGCTTATACCTCTATATTATTACATATGTCATATAAAAGAGTGATATGTGTATGTACACTTCATAAGAAAATATATAAAGCAATTACCAATTGCATCATGCTTTTTGAATCTTGAAATCTACAATATAAAAAAAAGAAAAATAAAAACAAAACCACCAGTTGAACATAATTTTCTTTTCTTCCTTTTGCTGTTACATATACTTTTTTTTTTTCTACTTCTTCTGCTTATTCTTCTCTTTCTTCATGTTACGTTTTACGAGTATTTTTGATATTACTGCTCCTTTTCTCTCTTGAAATTTTATTTATGCTATTAAATTATCATCATCGCTTTTCAATACATTTTACTTTTAAAAAAGCGTATAGAGAACTGTGGGCTAAAGATAATATCATTTTCTCTCAATACTGTTAAGGAATGCACTCTAGTACTCTATACATATTCTTGCAATAATGTTGATGAAATAAACAATATTGTATAAGTAGTAACTTATGTAGTAAGTAATATAATAAAGAGGGGAAATTTTTCGAAATTGCATTTCATACTCATTTCATTTTTATCATCTTGAACTATATATAAATCACATGCGCTAAAAAAGAAATTATCCTCTAAAAAATATTGTACAAAAAGAATGTAGCCATATGAAATTTTTTTTCTTTAATAGCTACAAAATAAACGGAAAGCAAAACATTGCGAAGTTTTCCACGTTTTTCTTATTTTGACTTTCATCATATTATGTTCAAATTGAAAATGTGAAAACCGCTTATTTTTATTTTTCACCAACATTAAAATTTAAAGTATTTTTTCGTTGTAGAAATTTAATTGCCATTTCTTTTTAAATTTTTTATTTATTCTGTACTGTAGTACATACTCATATGCCATGAATTATACGTTCACGTGCTGTTTAAATTCTCTTTCGTTATATTTTTCTCCTTCGTAATCCTTTATGATAAGGAGAAATTTAGCATTTTGCGATATCAACGGTAAAAGTGTTATTTGTTTAAAGAAGCTCATTTTAATTCTTATTGCAATGAATTAATTTATTGTTGAAAATTATTTTATTGCACAAAGATATGAACGGATGTTGTAAAATATTTCATGTTACTCATATGTGTGTAATTTCATGTTATAAATATGTGTGAAATATTTTAAATTTTTTAACATTATTTTGGTTGTAAACTTTTCTCTTTTACTATCAAATCATGTTATTGATTGGATGTAGGAGAAAAATTTTCATATCATAATTTAATTTTTAAAATTATTTTCAAATTTATAAGGTTTTTGAAATAAATAATGCACACACAAATGTTTTGTTTAGGTTATACAATAATAACAAACGTGTTGGTGTTATTAAAATAAAATTATAGTATGATTGGTGTACTTATTTATTTATAGAAAAAAATTGTAGAAAAAATTGAATTAATAAAACAAAACAAATATGTAATATCAAAATTGAAAGTTCAATCATCAATGTTTCTTTAACATGTTTAATTAAAATTACACCAATAATATTATTGGTCTTATAATATTTTATCAAAAACAAAAAAAAGAAAATTATCATATATACCATACCATGTTTATAATAATATTATGGATGGTATCATATCGTATTAGTACGATATACCATAAATACCTTATGTTACATTATACACACACACACACACATGAATTTACATGGTATATTTTATATATGGAATAAAATATATTACGATACCGTAAACATGCTTATCTATTACGTTATAATATTAAGGTACATAATATAGATTGACATTTTTCTTATACCAGTATTCATTTTGCCGTCTTTACAGTTCAACACTGAATTAAAGATTGAACGCGGATAAAATACACTTATTGTATAGAATTAGAGAAGAAAAAAAAAGAAAATATTTTAATATAAAATAAGATAGAGAAGGAAAAAAATTTTTTTTTCTTTAAAAAAAAAATAAATAAAATTTGTTTTGTTTTTTTTTTTTTTGTTTGATTCATTATTATTTTTATATAAGAAAACGTGAATTTTCAAAGTGAAAGAGTAAGAAAAAAAGAAAAAGCAAAATAAATAAAAAAAAAATAACGTTGTCGTCTTCACCGCTATTATCGCTGAAAATCGTTAAGAAAACAACAATAATTTATTATTTATTTATTTTTAATTTATTTTTACTTTACAAAAAAAGAAAATATATAATTTGTGCCGGAATTTTTTTAAAATTAAAATTAAAAAGAAAAAAAAAATTGTAAAATAAAAAGAAATAAAATTCCAAATTAGTAATTGGTGTTCACGATATTGTAATTATAATTTCAAGTACCTACTCGTTTCTTTTTTTTTTATTATTAATTAAAATTTAATATAAAGAAATTGGTTTTTGATTTTTAATTATGCAATTTGAACGCGAAGAATAAATTAATGAAATATTTTTTTTTTAAGTTTTAATAAATGAAAAAATTTTAATAAAGATTTTTTAATAATTTTTTTACGAATAACACTTGATACACAATATTGATATCAAATAAAATGTAAGTTTTGAAATATTTTAAGAAATTTCTTAATTATATTTAACATATTATATTTATTATATAATTAATATTATTAAAAATAAATAATTGTTTTTGACAATTGGCTAGCAATGGGAATCAGAGAATATTGGGCAAGTTGCTAATTATTGAAAGACGAACATTAATTTGAAAATTTTAATTCTACATAAAAACTGCTTGGATTTTTCAAATCGAATCAATCTATATTATTTAAAATTCTAATTTAATTCACCTAAAATTATCTGTTTTTACAAACGGAAATGTGAATTTCCCTAATATTAATTAGTGGAGTATCGTAATATTAATGAGTGTAGTGAAGCACGTGTATAATCAAATATAGTAGCTATGCAATTTCAAAAATATCCGTATAAATGTTTTTGTAAGAACTGCAATTTTAAGAAAAGGATTTTACCAAACGCTTGATAAGATTCTAATCAAAAAGGTTGAAGTCGACTTTTCCGGTCAATACCTACTCCTTGAAATTAAAGTAAAATCACCTTGGGTACCAAAAATTTAATAATATCATTTCAATATTTTAAAAATGGACCAAATTTATTTTCATTAAATGTCAAAATAACACTCAAATAATTTTCATTCTATAATCTTTTCTTAACAGATAATATAAAAATGGAAATTTCAAATTTTAAGATCAAGGAAAATTTTTTTTTTATACAATTATTTTGGGTTGTCTTCTTCTCTGATAAATTCAAAATTACTTACAAATTAATACCATGTCAAAGATTTTTTTATATTTTGGATCTTATAGGCACTAAATTTGGGCTAACATTTGGTATAAACATTAGTACATTATACAGATATATGTATGTACATTATATCTACATATTAAAATATTTTTGTATTGTGTAAGGAATATACATAAATAAAGTCTAAAAATATCTTCAAGTTCATTATATGATCACCAGGAGGCAAAAATGTCACTTTTGTAATTAAAATTCATTTAAAAAAAAGAAAAGATAAATTTTTTTTTTTTGGTCTCATTTTGATTTTGCAGTTTTTCTTTTTTTTTTTTTATTTGGTTTATCTCTTTTACATTTAAATACTTATGGTGGTATGAAGTAATTTCCATAAGATATTAAGAATGTATTGGGATTTATTAGTATATGAAATAAGTATAGCCTTAGTACCTAAATTGTATGATAAAATATTACCCAGAAACATTTTCAAAGGAATTGTACTTATTTAATTAATGGATTAAAATAACTTCATTTTACTATCACTAACAAAAAATGGAAATCGTTATGTAAAATGAAATTTCTTATTACAACGGTTTTAATAAAATGTTTTATTGTTGTTACTCATGAATTCTATTCAATTTGTATTTTGATTTTCTTGACCAATTTTACTTGCAATCATCAGGCTACTGGGCACAATAGCACAATTAAATTAGTTGTAACTTACATAATGTCCTAAATATTTAAGAATGTTATTAAGCATTACTTGCCAAAAAGTACATGCAAAACAGAAATTAAAATTTTTTGGGAGTTATTTAATTAGTAAATTTTTCATTGCATCAGATTTATGATTTATTTTGTCGTTTTCTTTACATGGCTTTTTCGAATTTTTTTTTATGATTTTCGTAGTTAAGGGCTTGCCTTTCTTATTTTTTATTCTTTTATTTCTATTTTTTTTTGTGTTAATGATATCAGGCCATTGATACCCCATTTGGTGACATTAATATAATATTTTTCTGTAACCTAGTGTAATAAAATACATACATAACTCAAAAGTAACATATTTATAGTATAAAAATTTATACTATATATACAGATTTTATTATTATATATGTAGATTATAAATTTATGAATCGATAAGTTTTTGTAATATATATATTACATGTAAAATTTATCTGAGTATGTATAAATGTACAACTCTTTAATAATTTACTATCTCCTTCTTTCAACTAACCGAAAAGTTTTATTAAATGTTAAAACCTATTAAATTTAACTAGGCATAATATGAGAGATCTTTTCTTTTTTTTCTAATTTTTGTTATGATAATCTCATAAAAATATAGTTGACATCAGAGAAAGGATGAAAAAAGAATAATTTTTTTTTTACTAAGGTTCATTAAAATAATATTTTTATTAATCTTAAAATGACACAAAAAAAAAGGAAAGGATAATACCGTAATTGTAGTCAAAGAGTTGGACGCTAAATTCTGTTATACGCACAGAATCATGGTGTACTTGTGTGTATTTATTGTGATTAATATTCATTGTAGTTAGTAATCGTATAAAATTTAATGTTTTGAAAAAAAGCTGTTTCAAAAAGAAATTAAAAATTTTGATTTTTATTTCAAATAATTTTAATTAATTATTGAAATGGGAAAATGACGAAAACCTTTTGTTATACCGTATCACAATTTTGTGTAACAGCAAAAGTAAGATACGTGTGTATTTTAAATTTAGTAACTACTTACAATATATGTATAAGTAAAATATATTTTTTAAAGGAAACAAAATTCTTTCTTACATTTTACTTAGCTATTAAACTTAAATGAGTTGGAATTATTAGAAAATTTAATTAAAATTATAATTGTTATACAAAATAATTTGAACTTTAATTTTGAATGGTTCAATTTTTTTCACTTTTATATTAATTTATTGTAAAACACTAATAACGGTTTAGTTTATTTTAAATTATTTCATTTAATATTCCATTTAATATACGAGTAATTAAACATTTTATGGTTCAAAAGATTATTTAAGTGCTACTAAATTTTTACAATAATTTTTAATTCTGTGTTGGCCTTATTCTACTTGTTATACTTGCTTTTCCTTCTGCACCTGCTTTTGTATAATATTTTTACTTTTGTATAAAACACATTTACCAATTGGATTTTATTGAGTACATACAATATGCCTAGATATAGGAAGAACTAGAAAATTCCATTTGCAATTAGTGAAACGTGTAAGTCTTGTCAGACAGAATAATATACTAGACATGTTAATTTTATACATTAAAAAACAAATGGATTTTTTTTTTTTGTAAAAATAAATTATGAATAAATGAATCTTTTCTAGAAAATAAAAATTATAATAATTGCGTATATTTGTACAAGTGTGTACATTAGAATGTAGACATAAGGATTTACACATAATTATTTAAAATCTTTTGGCATTGCTCGCCTAGAAATTGCAATTTTACTCCACTTCTCTTCATTTTGCTTTTTTTTAATCAAAAATAATTACAATTTCAGAATTAAATTCAATTTCCTTTTTAATTTAATAAAAAAATTACAAAAAAAACGAAAAAAGAAAATGAAATGCTATAAATTATAATTCACACTTAATTTCACTCGTTTTATTTTAAAACAAAAAAAAAATAGCAAAATTAAAGAAGAAGCAAAAACGCAATGAAATTTTTTTTTAAATATTTTTAATTTTTTTTATTAAAATCCAAATTTAGCATTACTTTGATCGTATATGTACGAGTGTGTGTATGATTGCAAAAAAAACATTGAGTGTCTGATGATTCGATTTTTTTTTTATGTTGCAAATTCAATTTTTGGAAATTTTCCAAAAATAATTAAGAATTTTACAGTTTTTGCTTGTTAATTTTTTTTAGTCATTTTTTTATTTTTTTAAACAAAAACATAAAATTTATTTTTCTTATATTTTTTTTCTGCAATTTCATTTCTCTTTTATATTATGCAGTATTTTAAACCAAAATACATTGTACTGTCAATTCAACATAATTTTTTTTTTTTTGGTATTGCAGCAACATAAATGGTGTTATTTTAGATTCTTTTTATATATGTATAAATTTTTTTTTAATTTGAATTTCAGGCAATTTGACACGCTCCCAGATAAGTATAGGCTGCTTATGTTGTGAAGTGTACATTGTACTTATGACTTTATTAAAGAGAAAATATTTTAAGTCTTTAATTTATTAAATTAATACTGTAAAAATTTTTAAAATAAATGAAATACAAATTAAACATGACATTTAAACATTAATAATACATTATTTAATTTTTTGTTTTATATGACAGAAACTATAGAGTTAAAATGTCAAATTTATGGTATTTAAAGGGCATAATTGAAAATGAGAAGAGTTTTTTTTAAATCTATTTTGACAAGAAAATTTATTGTATACAATATATGAGAGATTTTCGTAATATCATGTTGATGTTATGTTTAAATGCGTAAATATGAAGTTTTAAACATGCCACTAAATTAAAGTAGTTAAGTGAATTAAAGTACATTATTAAAATATCGCCTTAAGTACTTAAATTATTTCTGGAATGAGTAGATAGGTGGTTAAACTCCAGAAAAAAAAGTCAAAAAGATATATTGACTTATTCTATATAAATTAGTTGAAATTACCAGTGAAACCGATCGTAATTTAGAATGATTTTTTCATCTATTTGCGAAAAGTCATTCTCTTCTATATTATCCCTTAAAACAACCCTTAAAAGTTTGACCATTTGACAAAGAATACTCTAAAATTTCAAAATTAAAAGGAGTTATTTCGGGCTATAGTCTTCTTCCCGGTTATTTATTAATTTTTACAAATTATGAATTTTCTTTTTTCTATTTTTCTGTTAAATTCCTACCTAGATAATTCTCCTAAATGTATGCAATATTGTATGGTAATAAGGCAAGCATTTACATTGACTATTACTTAAATTATTAAAATGTTGAATCAAATACTGTTATTGTTACCATTTTATAGTACCGTTAATTAAAATTTCTTTATTATTTAATAATTTAATAATATTTAATATTTTTTAATAATCGTTTTTGCTGCGTGCTTGAAAGAAGACATAAATAAATAAAAAATCTTAAAAATATTACTCTCTAATGTCAATAGTGTTTGTCTACTAATCTAAATATTTCAATCTATTTTACGGTTTTAAATTTTACAAACAACTCTAAAACTATACATAAAAAAAACTATTTAGTTCGGCGCATTTTTTATTTTGAATTTATTAATTAAAAAAGGCTAAACAATTACATA